ACCTACCAAAGTGATTTGTTTCTGTTGGACTGCACTGCATAACTCATGCCTCACACAAGATAATCTCTCCAAAAGGAAACTCCAGCTTGCTAACCGATGCTATTTCTGCCACAAGCACACAGAAACTGTCAACCACTTGCTACTGCACTGCCCAGCTGCCTCAGACCTCTGGAATATGTTTTGTTGCTTTTTGGTCTTTCCTGGGTCATGCCTTTCTCTGTTAGGGATGCTCTTGAAAGTTGGAGTTCACGGGATGTTGAGAAAGCCATCAAGAGTATGTCGATGATGATCCCTGGTGTTATCTTTTGGTGTTTATGGACAGAGAGGAACAAAAGATGTTTTGATGGAATTTCAACTTCTAGAAATCTTTTGCGAGGCAAATGTCTAGTTAGCCTTTTTAGTTGGCCCAAACTAACCCCTGTTAATAATTTAGAACTCTTCTTGGATTTTGTTAGCTCTATAGCTTAGAAAGAGGCTACAAATCCTTTTTTTGTGTGCTTAACTGATCTATCCTTGTAAAGCTTGCATCTTCTTGATGCCTTGAAATGAATCTACTTACTTCATCAAAAAAAAAATGATTATCCAAGTCTTTTCAACTTAGCCAGGGATCCAGACTCAACAATTTCTCAAAATAGAGATGGAGCAACCTGGAGCATTATGTTTAGAAGGAATATGCAGGATTGGGAGTTTAATGACCTGATCAAACTACTACAGACTCTACAGAGTTTCTCTCTCAACACTCAGGCAACAGATCAGTTCAAATGGGGTACTACAGGAGACGGGAATTACACAGTGAGTGCAGCCTACAAGCAGTCAAGAGCATTTAATGCAGTCACTGACCACTGTCCATGGAAATTAATTTGGAAAATCAAGCTACCGCCCAAGATCGTCTGTTTTTGCTGGACTGCACTATATGAAGCATGCCTAACTCAAGACAACCTCTATAAAAGGAAACACATCATTGTGAATGGATGCTACTTATGTCAGAAAGCAGCGGAGAGCAATAGGCACCTTTTTCTGCATCGTACTGTTGCAGCAAAATTGTGGAACATGTTTTACTCTCTTTTTGGACTCAGTTGGGTCATGCCACATAGTATCAAAGAAGCTTATGAGAGTTGGTGTTGCTGGAAAGTTGACAGCACCATCAAACAGACTTGGAAGATGATACCTGCAGCAATTTTTTGGAGTATTTGGAGGGAAAGGAACAGAAGATGTTTTGAAGGTCTATCAACTCCTTTACATTCTCTCAAAGCGGAATGCCTTATGTGTCTGTACAGTTGGGTTAATTTGTCCTATGTGGATTCCCTGGATAGTTTTTCAAATTTTGTTGGCTCCTTAGTTTTAGCATAATTGTACTTGAGCCAGCAGACCAACTGTTTTTGCTTCTACTTTTGTAACTAATTTGCATCTTCTTGATGCCTTCAATGGAACATTTACTTCATCAAAAAAAAAATCCCAAAAACTATTGTGTTCGATTATTTTCTTTTCCATTTGAATTTCCATATCTCAATCGAGATCATAACAACAAAGCAAATCGAATCTAACTTCGAGCAATTAAAAACCTAGATTGAACACATACCTGAAGCTCGCCTATCACATCCGATAATTTTCCGTTTTTAAACAACAAAGTACCAGTATACCCTACATATACACACAAAAACATACATATTTCATATAATATCATATCAAACCACAAAATTCACCATAATCAATCACAAAATTACAACACACTAGTCGCTGATTAAGTGTATACATGCTCCGACGATGAAGACGATCTTTGTTAAGCCTACTCCAGCATGCATAGCCATGGCCGGCGTTAGTCCGGTGAACAACAAACCCTCGTTTTTTTGTGTTTTCCGGCGACGGATATTGGAGTTGAATGTTAAAAAAGAGATTCAGTGAGATTGAAGCTAATAGTGGTGAGATAAAACGACGTTGCTACTTATTTGGGTTTTTTTGTCTATGACGATATTACCCACTAGTGAATTAAATAAAAAAACTGTAGTTGTTTAAACTTGAAAAACAAAAAATAGAAATCAAAGACTCATGCCTAATCAATCATAAATTACTAAGGAGGTATTTGATTATGAGTTTTTATTTTTTTTAGAGTTCAACTTCGAAAAATACATTTGATCAACAAAAATATGTTTTTCCTATAGATTATTGATAGAAAGTAAAAAAGGAGTAAAATTTGTATTATATATAACTCCAATTTTCATAAATTATTTTTCATTTTAAAAATAACAATAATTTTATTCAAATTTTACGATGATATGTGGCGAAATGCCCATTCAATTTTCTCATTATGATCATATCCATTGTGCCCTATGAAATTATACATTAAAAAAATATTGAAGCAAACTTTCTGTGATGTCTTGTTCTCTTTTTACTTCCTTTTTTCTCTATCATTTACAAAAGATAAAAGATAAATGCATAATTAAAAGAATTAACACTTCATAAAATAATTAACGAACAACCTCTTTTTCTATGTGAATTTTTTAGCAATCTTTTCTTATTGGTTTCTAAAACGTTTCCAACAAACTTCAAACCTCAATTTACATTTGTTCTTACAAAAATATAAATCATAGTTTACAGTTCACATGCTCCTTTTAATAAATGTATATAGAAAAGAAAATAGATGTTATCACTTCTTTTGGCTTTCAAAATGAGTCTTTTAACACTTCCTCCTGCAAAATATAAAATCATAATTCAAGGTTCACATGTCATAATTACTCATGTCTTTTATAATTTCCTTTTGAAAAATGCATATAAAAAAGAAGTTAGATATTCTTATCATAAATTGATATGAAAGAAAATAGATAATCTCACCTTTAAAAATAACCTGCACAATATCACCATCATCCTCAGACCTCAAGTAACACTTCCTCCTGCAAAAAATAAAATCATAATTCAGGGTTCACATGCCGTAAATAGTGATGTCTTTTGTAACTTCCTTTTTGAAAAATGCATATAGAAAGAAGTTAAATAATCTTATCATCAATTGATATAAAAGTAAATAGATAATCTCACCTTTAAAAATAGTCTAATATAATATCACTATCACCCTACGTTGTACTGTTCTTCTTGATCATTTGAAATGTTTCTTATATTTATATGCCCATATATGATGTAACTACAAAGCATAATGATTTGGATGGTAAATGCCATTAAATATAATGACCTTTCACATTTTAGTATTTATTAATTAGCAATGAACTTAACTTTTAAATCCCATAATTACTATTCTCCTTATAACAGAAACAACTTAAGCAGTACAAAAAAGGTAAAAGAACTTTAGTAGAAAAGATAAATAGTGAGGAATAATATAAATAGATCACCATTAATTTTCTATAATTATTACATTTTCTAACAAAAACGTTAATTTTTTTTTAAAACTATAACAATAACGTAAATAATAAAAGGAAAGTAAAAGAATTTTTAGGAGAAGAGATATCAGTAGTAATAATGATTATATGTTCACTTTTCAGAATTTTAGCTTTCTGTTTCATGTTAAGAATTAAATCGTGTACAACTCCCTCATTAATGAGAAATAATAGGAATAAATCACCATTAATTTAATATAATATTTAAATCCTATTATAAGAGAAAATTTCCAAAAATTCGAGAAAAAAAATAATTAGAGCTCCTAGCCAAAGAGGTATGCCACATCAACTTTTCAATTACCATATATATATATATGTGCGCGCGCGCGCGCGTGTGTGCATTTTTTAACAACCTTTTTAGGTTGAGACTCCAAGTAACACTTTTTCCTGCAAAATATAAAATCATCATTCATGGTTCACATTTCATAAAAACTCATGTCTTTTAGTAAGTTCCTTTTGAAAAATGCATAAATAAAAGAAGATAGATATTCTTACCATCAATTCATATATAAAAGAAAATAGATTTGAGACTCCAAGTAACACTTCCTCCTACAAAATGTAAAATCATAGTTTAGGGTTCACATTTCATAAACACTCACGTCTTTTAATAAATTCCTTTTGAAAAATGCATAAATAAAAGAAGATAGTTTCTTACCATCAATTCATATAAAAGGAAATAGATAATCTCACCTTTAAAAATAGTCGGTGAAATATCACTATCACCCAATGTTAACTGAGCTTCTCCATCATTTGCAATGTTTCTTAGATTTATATGTCCAAATATAATGTAACTACAAAGCATAATAACCCATATGGTAAATGCAATTAAATATAATAATGACTTTTCACATTTATGCATTTATTAATTTGCAATGAAACTTACCTTTTAAATTCCATAACTACTGCATAATCCTAAATATGAGTTTATTAAAAAGGTGAAAAAAATTGAATAATAAAGTTGATTATCAATAAATTAAATGATGATCACATAATGAGGTCTGAATAAAGAAAGAAAAATAACGGTTTTGGATCAATGAAGAAGAAACCAACCAATTTTCTATAATTACTACAATTAATTGAAGGAATAATATAAATAGATCATCATTAATTTAATGTAATATATATTTTAAATCCTAAAATAAAGAGAAAAATCTCAAAAGTCAGAGAAAAAAGATAATTAGAAATCCTGATGAAAGAAGTATGCCACATCAGCTTTTCCATATCCTCCTTTATATATATATATATATATATAGAGAGAGAGATATTTGAGATTTGTAGAGTCTCCACTTGTCGTGCAAATTCAACCACGCGAAGGGTACATTAGTGTTTTTACTTACTTCCCTTAATACTCGTCGTTTTTAGTGTTTAGAAAAATTATAATAATATAATCGTTTAACTTTATAAATGGAGTTTGGGAGAATAGAATATATTCAAGTTTTATGTGTATGGATTAGAAGATCCAAATGTAAATGAAATAAACTAGATGATTATATGAAATAACAATAACATTATCGTTATTATTGATCAAGAACTTCTTCATAACAATTTGAATTAAAGAGTGTCGATTTATAATATTTATATCGTTCAACGTAGAATAAATATTATAAATAGAACAACATTGATAGAGTTAGAAATCAGGGTGTTTTCGAACCCTAATCGATGGAGGAAGATGGATGGGACGAAGCTGAGGTAGTGGGGAGAATCAATGCAGGTGTTGAAGAAGACGAGAGACTTGCAGAGATGAAAAGGTGCTTAATTGACACGGTCTATGGAACAGATTTTGGGCTCAGGGCCTCATCCGAGGCTCGAGCTGAGGCTCTGGAGCTGGTTGCTAAGTTGGAGGCAGCAAATCCAACTCCAAATCCAGTTGTATTGCTTGACGGGAACTGGATTTTAGTGTGAGTTCTTGTTTCTCATTTCAATTTTCAATTTTCTGTTTTTGGCTTTATTTACCTGTGGTGGAATGATATGTGCTCGAATTGAATGGAGTCTATGTTGTCGAACTTCCCAAAATTGTTGTTGCACCTGTGTCGAAAACTATAAATCACTACTTTTGGAGGATTCAACATGCACCGATGACATTTTTGAAGAGTTTGAGCAACATAGATCATGGAGGATTGATACTTGATTCCGTCTTATTTAGAATATAGAAGTAGATGGTTATTGAATGATTGATTGGCTTATATAGCCACTCAACTAGATTAGAGTACAATTGACATGATTTGTTTACAGAGTTACTTGGTACTTGTTATTGGTGGAAGGTAATAGGTTTCTGTGTTATTAGTCGAGTGCACGAGAGCTGGCCCAGACACTACAATTATCTCGTTTTAGGGGCAATGAATTTGTGTTTTTGAGTGTGTTTTGCGAGGGAAGAAAGTGGCTTTTGGGTGAATCTTTGCTCTAGGATTAATATAAGGTATCTCCTAGAGAAGTGGACATATTTTGGGAGTCCTAATAGGAAAAGCTGTTTTCCGATTTTGAACAAGGACTTCTATAAAGCCTTCAGATTTTGACTTGGCTAAGATTGCTGTTGAACTTCTCTGCTTATTGATGTAGGAGGTATACTTAGAGATGATTACCTTCCCAAGATTTTCGGCATTTAACTGCAAGTTGGAGCACCATGTCATGGTGATTCCTTAACTGCAATTTTTATTAATTCCCACAGCAGCATGCCTAAGTATTCAATGTTGTAGTGCCAGTGTTGGTTGCAATATACTAAAATGCCTGCACACAGTGGTGGTGCTAAAGGAAGGAAGGGAATTCAATTGAATCCCCTTCCGAAAATTACACTGTGCAAGTAGGGTAAAAACATTTTTTTTGTATATATATATATAGATTGTTGAATCCCCTTGACATATATAGAAGAGTTGAACTAGTTGGAAATGTAACCATTACATGCATTAACTGGATTGAGGTAGATAACCACAGGGATACTACTATGCTCAAACTCATCCTTATGTTGCTTCCTGATGTGTCAGGTTTACTGCATTTTCTGAGCTGTTACCTCTTCTGGCTGTGGGCACCATTCCTTTGTTGAAGGTCGAAAAGATTAGTCAAACAATTAGTATGAGCAGCCTTACCATAGAGAACTCAACTACATTGTCAAGCCCTGTAGCCACCTCGTCTTTCAGTGCAACTGCTGTCTTTGAAGTTCAGAGTCCATCAAGAATACAGGTACCTTTTTTGGACTGCACTGTAATTTCTTCAGAGAGGTACTATAGTGTCGTATGTGAAGAGAGATATGATCAAAACTGTACTACAGTCAAATAAGATAATAGTCATGGTGATGTGACTCTCTGCCCCTGGCAAACAATGCGTAGTTTATCTTGATGAACCTCCATAAGTTTGTAGAGTACATCCCGTAGCTGTGTGCATTCATATACTAACTAGTACTTGCCTTTTCAGGTTGAATTCAAAGAAGGGACATTTAAGCCTCCGGAGATCAAGTCAAAAATAGATCTGCCAGAAAACATGGATTTCTTTGGCCAAAACATAAGTTTGTCACCTCTACAGCAATCTCTGGGACCTCTAGAAAATGCTGTGGCAGGTATAGCCCGAACTATTTCTGGTCAGCCTCCTCTCAAGGTTCCAATTCCAGGTGAGAGGACAAAATCTTGGCTTATTACAACATACCTTGACAGTGATCTCCGGATTTCTAGAGGAGATGGTGGGCTTTTTGTTCTCGTTAAGGAAGAGAGTTCTCTTCTGGATCAGTAGCAAGGTCCAACCCTGTATGTATATGATATGTAGAGGTCCTTGGAGCTTCATATATACAATACATAGCTGTAAAGCGATATACCTCTTGTCTTTTTAATCTATAATGCCATTTGTATAGCGGCCACTCAGAGGAAGGAAACTGAAAATTGGAAAATTAAAAGCATTTGCATATAATATATGCTATTTTGAAGTTCTGGTGTTATTTGTTTCCAGTGGTTGGTAAACTTATGTCACTCTGCCTTCTTTTGAGGTCAAAATTAGTTTCATTGCAATATTACTATCATGAACTCGCGAAGTATGTGGTGAAGAAAGTCCTCTCTTATAGGAGAGGGACTATTGAATGAAAAAAGAAGTCTTCAAGAAGTGTCGTTAGAAATCATGAAAGAAATAGCTTTGAATAAAGATGTGTTAGCAGAAGTTTGATAGCGATGGGTGTATGTAGGATCCTCCAAAAGTTGTGCATTCTTTGGAGGATCCCACACGAGTGCAACAACATCATTGGAGAGTCCGAGCAACATAGGCCAAATCTTTGGCCACAACAAAGGGAAAGGACTTTCACCCACATTCTTAAGTGAAAAGCAAAGCTACAACATAGGCAAAGAACTTTCACCACATTCTTGAGAGTGAAGCAGGTGGTGGTGCATACATCCTACCTTACCTAGACCCACCTTATTTTGTTGTATATTTTCGCTTGTGGCGTTCAAAGTAGTAATTGATGATACAATGGTGGTGGTCGAAACCAAAAGACTTGTTTCATATAACTGTCTTGTTACACTCCTCCAGCTAATAACAAGAGAATAAATCAACCATGTTTTGTTTAATACCTGTGTGTAGTGAGTAGTGACAACTACATAATCATATCAAGAGGTTCCATATTGTAGTGAACTCCAGAAAAAACTATGTGGTCTCCGACATGGCCTATTCAAAATGAGAAGCACTAAAAAGATGTTACAAAAAGATGATCAATTATCATGAACTCGATAGAGCAAACAATGGACTTGCCGCAGCCACATCATGCCTTCTTCTTCTTGGACTTGAGCATGACGTATCCAATAAACACGCTCAAGAAGCAGATGAGTGCCACTGCAGCATATACAGGAATGAGAATAGCGTATTCTTGTGGTAGAAAATACTTGTGCATGAAATGATCGCTATCAACTAGAGGCTGAAAGGACAAAACAACATTTGCACATCAATCTCCAGATAAAACTTAAGTTGCAAGGGTCTGCTATGTTGCTCGGACTCTCCAATAATGTTGCCACACCCGTGGTCAGATCCTTCAAAAACGTACCCTTTTTGAAGGATCCAACATGCACCTGGCGACACATTTTTGAAGAGTCCGAAGGTCAGTACAGAATGGAATGGAAGAGAATATGAGCTGACCAGAATGATAACCCAGAAGGTATAATATGTAAAAATGGACAAACTAGTCAATGTTAAAATGAGCCCAACAGCTCTGTCAGCCAACTCCATCGAGACTCCTCTTCTTGTGCCGCCTGTAAAAGAAGAATGTTTCAGTTAAGAACTTGTGTACCTTACAAGAAGAGGATCAAAACAAAAAAAAATGGCCTGGTCACAGGTTTGCCGGTACCATACAAGGTTCAAGGGACTAAAAGGAGAGAAGACAAAACAAAAACGGATGAAAGTGGAACACAGTCCGGAAGGAGACCTTATCCCCTAAAGAGGTTGTTCCCAATAGAATCTCAGCTCAAGGAGAGATGAAAAAGAAGCAGTAATAACAGAGAGTAGCGTCAGCAACATAATAAGATAAACGACGCCACAGAAACATGTGTTGTGTTTAGTACATGTCTTCCAACATGTGACCATTGTGAAGGAACGTGTTGCATACAATATCTACCCAATCATTCATCCATATGTCTTGACAAGCAAAAATTCAGAAAGCTACATGAGCAGTTCTCTCGAGTCTCAATGTACTCTTGTTGCACTATCCTGAGTCCTGACCACAAAATGATACAACTTCTCCTTCTCAAGATGTCGATAACGATGCTTTTAACTATGACAACAGCCCGAAGAAAGACAAGGTAATAAACACGTCTACCTAAAAAGAACTCCAGGTTATGAGTCCCAAAATGAAGTCATATGATAGGGGAGTAAGCTTGGCAACATATTATTAGGCCCTAATTCTACAGGAAAACTCATTTGTTAGTAAGGACACAATATTACAATTTATATATATTTAACTTAGTTTCACTATTATTTTATTTGGTATGATGATGACATGAGGTGAGCTTAAAAGGAGAAAAGAGGATGTACATAGCTGACCCAAACTTGTTTGGAACTAAGGCATAGTTGTTGTAAGGACACAATATTACAAATTAGCACAAGGTTGCTCATTAGAGTTAATCTATATCACAGATCTAATAAGACTGCCTCTTAGAATTTCCATCGTCAATGAGAACTAAATTTTGCAAGGCCCCATATTTGCCAAGAAAGAGAAGCTATGTCCTCACACTCCCAAACAGCAGACAGCACACGAGAATCATACTTTAAAAAATGCTTAAGTTAGTCAAGTTGGAGAACAAGAAAAGTATTTTTCTGAGAACTAAATTACTACTCCAGCAAACTATCACCGGGACTCTAATTTCCTAATAGAAAATGAGTTAAATCTTGAACTCCCTAGTCATTAGTGGAATTACACTGTCGAAAGGGGTTAAAACTAAGCTATAATGGTGAACACTCGACCATTGGTAGAGTTAATACTTAGACTTGTTAAAGCTGAGGTGAATCTTCGGAACATACCTACCACAGTCGAGGATCCTATCCATAGTAAACAGTACATGAAGGAACACCAACTCTTAAAGGAAGGACATAGTCTCACCATTCAAAGAGTATAACATATCTTTCAGACAAGTAACTAAGTCCATCCTAATTAGGCCTTCCATTTTACCATCCATTTCATCATAAAATTACCAATCCTCTATTTATCAAACGGAAAAAATTACCAACCTTCAGTGAGCTATATGATTCCATTTCTTTTTCTCTAAAAAGGAGAACACTAAAACGACACAGAATCATAAGTTCTCGTGGTGTTACGAATGAATAATAAACTAATGATTAAAAAAACATGGGAAAAGATAAAACTGTTCATCAATTACACAGACAAACACCTTTAGTCACAGATTATTTAATTGCAAAATTATAAAAAAGAAAAAAAAATCACCCCCATCTCTCAATTTCTAAGCAACTCCACCAGAAACGGTAGGTATATCCATTTCGATAACCAATATCTTTCACCTCTTAATAAAAAGTTTCTAAGAATTGCTATTCAGACTAAAATAAAAAGAAAAGCAGCAACAAAGTAAAAACTCTCCATATTTCGCAACTCATTCCCATAACATATTACCAGATATCCCTTCATTTCAATTTGTTTGACTTACATTCCTTTTTAGTTTGTTTAAAAAAGAATGCTTCTTTCCTTTTTCCACAACTTTCTTATTTTAACTTTCCACATAGCATGTTTAAGACCATAAGATTAAAAAGCATTTTGATACATTCTACGTTTTTTTTAGATTAAGACATAATAGTCAAAAGTCTTTTTCTTTCTTAAACTTCCTGTCAAGTCAAAACCAGACAAATAAATTGAAACAAAGGGAATAAGTTTTTTTGTTCCTCCACTTTTAGGCTGTTAGTTATCACTGAACTTCCAACAAGGTTCATACAACAAAGACCTTTAGACATGATTTGACTCCCAAAGCTAAAAACTTTATACCAGAAAAAGGCTAGAGTTGCAAGAAAAATACTACCACCCCCCGAGCCCTTGGCATCAGGGTCAGGATTGATCTCAAAACTGATAAGCCCCTTCGTATTCCAACAACAAACTATGCCTCAGTCCCAAACAAGTTGTCGTCAGCTATATCAATCCCCACTTTCATTTAGGCTCATTTTATATGAATTCAACCAACAACAACAACATAATATCCGGTGTAATCCTACAAGTTGAAGTCTAGGGAGTGTAGTGTATTATGTACGCAGCCTTACCCCTAGCTCATGCTTGAATTTCAATTACCCTTTTCAGAAACTATGGAACATAAATTCATAATCCTTAAGAAATTAGTTTTCAAAAAAGCTCAAGATTCACAAGTTATGTCCAGAAAGGCTACAGGATCACAAAAAAATGGACATTTTGATGGATCACTCAATCAATCAATCAACTAAAAACTTACTAAAATTGGCAATATGAGTGGGAAACGGAAAAAATTATAAATTTTTTTGCATAAATTCAGCAAAAATATTGAGACCCCATTAAAGTAAGAGAAACAACAAACTTAGATCACCTGAAAAGTTCGGTTCTTGGTGTGGAAGATTTCTGCTTTCAGAGCATGAAGATCGCCATTTTCAAAGAAACTGAACTTTGATTGATTTTCAATTTTTATTTTTTATTCTTTTTGCACTTTGCTGTAATTGGACCAAAATATATTGGGCCCAACGTTTACATGGGCCTAAATTTGAGAGTGGGTACCAAAAGAGAGGAAATTCTTTCACTAATAACCACACCATCAACATACTCACATAATCTCACGAGGTTTGAAAAAGATAAAATGTATACAGACTTAATCATATATTTTATGGATTAGATAAACTATTTTCGATAGAACCACATTTAATTTTAAAAAGTCACGCGTAACATTCTAAAATAATAGTTATATTACATGATGAAATGCAAAAACAACCATTTTAGGATTGTAAAGATCACAAATTTACTATATTTAGCAACCTCATAATCAAATTTCAAAATCTCCGACATGAGGTTTCAATCGTCTGTTTGAATTTTCACAATTGTCAAGGTCTAACTTCATACTTGAGTTCTAATGTCTTGATTTTGACAGCTGAACCTTTTATCTTTTGAGTATGAAGCTGGATTCCAGCCGTTTAAAACTTCATACGTAAAGGTCTGAAGAAGAATAAGAAACAATAATGATATAACACGAACAATCTAAAAATCGTAAAACAAATTAAAATTTAAAAAATTAATGCGATGAGTTCAATAAAAAATTAACTAGCACTTAAAGTGGTACCTTATTGACTATTTAATTACTATTTTAAAATTCATAATAGAACAATTCAAATTCAAATTTATACAAACAACTTAATCATTGACTTGTCATAGTCCAATATGTTTAACTTGACAAATATTAGAACCCAAATTATATTATTAAAAGGCCAGAACATTATTTGAATAGGAATTCAAGGGTAGGACATATCAATTAATAAAGTTGGTAAAAAGTAGAAAATTTGAATTTAAATTTTAAAGACCACAAAATAGGTAGGTTACTTCATTATATTTGGCAAAAATTTCAAATAACAATTAATAGGAACAAAAAAAATAACAAATAATAATAACAATCAAAGACTAAAATAATAGGGAAGTGATAGGAATACTCCTAAGAAGGAAAAGCTTGATAACATTCATCCACTAACTTTCTACTTAATCCCAACCTCTATATTTTTCTATCATATGATCGTGTCCTTGCTAAACTACAAGTAAATTATGACATGTTTAGTTACCTTCCCGCGATACTTCTTCAACCTACTTCTACCTCTCTTCAAATCAGCCACAATCAATCTCTCGTATATCCTCATTTGAACATCTTACATATTCTCTTCATATACCATAATCATCTCAATCTTGCTTTCCTTAGCTTTTCCACCATATGGACTACTCCCACCTTATCCCTAATATCTCTAGTCCTAATTATATCTCTCTTACTATACTCACCAGTGGCGAAGCCACCCTATCTTTAGGGGGTCATCTGACCCCCCTTCGGCGGAAAATTATATTATTTTTACATGGTTAAAATATTTTTTTATGTAAATATAGTAGATGTTGAACCCCCTTAGGCTACTTCGTGTGTCTATTTCTTCAGATTTTGAACCTCCTAATTAAAAATTCTGGCTCCGCCACTGATACTCACATATCCATCTTGACGTCTTCATTTTTGTTACTTTCATCTTTTGGACATGTGCGCTCTGATCGATCAATACTTCACCACATACAACACAGTTGATCTAACAAAACACTCTATAAAACTCACTTTAGTCTTGATGGCATATTCTTGTTGCATAAGATCACGAATGCGACTCTCCAATTCATTCACCCGACTCCAATACAATGAGCAACATCCTTATCCATCTCCCAATTTTCTTAAACTATTAATCCAAGATACTTGAAACTTTTTCTCTCACTGAAGACTTGCACATTAATTCTCACTTCCACGTTCAATTAAAATGAAGTAGGTGATTACACTATATTTGAATAGTCATATACATAAACGTATCCTACTTGTTTAGCTTTATACAAGTTATAAGTGTCTTTTTATGCACACTAAAAATTGAAAGACATAGATATCAATTAAAGCAAGTTAAAAAACACGTTTATATATTACGTTGAATAATATAAAGGTAAGTTGCCAAGTGGCAACCAGCTGAGCTGTGTCACATCCAAAGGGACAATGAGACCTGCGCCTCACACAAAATGCACACCATTTCCTTTCCCCTTTTTGAAAGCTCAAAAAGATTTCTTACTTCTCTTCTTCATCAAAATTCAATTTTCACTCCATTTTCTTCCAAATTCCCCAAAACCCAACTTCCAAAACTTAATAATCTTGACATATTTGTGATAAAAATTTGATCTTGTTTGTCTCTGTACATATAATTACAAATTCTTGGTTTTTGGGAATTTCACCTGAAAATTTTGCCCTTCTCAATTTCCTTACAAATTGCCCAAACCCCATTTTTTTTTATTGTGATCAAGATTTGATTTTGTTTGTCTCTGTGTATTAAACTGTAGATTTTGATTGTTGGGTAGTTGAGATTTTTCGAAAAAAATAGAACAAAAGTATGAGTTTTCAAGATTTGGAATCGGGTCGACCTTTGGGGTCTCGTCGGTTCCAGACAAATGGGAAGCAAGACCCAACCCAAGCAGTGGCTTCTGGAATCTTCCAGATCAATACTGCTGTGTCTACGTTTCAGAGGCTAGTGAATACACTTGGTACCCCAAAAGATACGCCTGAGCTACGTGAAAAGTTGTAAGTGCTCTTTAACATATACGATTCAAAGTTTTGTATCAGATTAGGTTGAATTGCATAATTAGTGTATGTTAGTTTTAGCTCGTTGAAAGTTCAGAGTAAAGGGGGTGTTAATATATGTCGAATTCAAAATGAAATAGTATAATTATGATGATTTGTCCAAAAGGAGCTGAAAATGGATATAGTAGATTATGACTAGTTTGGGATTGAGAGGTGATTGATTGATTGTTGATTGAGGTCACCTAAATGTGGCGCTTAGTGGTCAATGAAGTGGGTTGAGAACCATGAAGTCTCGGGTTCTCAATTCCCAGTAGAGGCAAACCATGCAGTCTCAGGTTCTCATTTCCCGTCAGAGGCAAAAAGAAAAGGTGATTCCTTGCTATCTGTCCAAGCTTTGGTGAACATAGTTAGGTGGTACAGTGGAAGGTAGCAAGTATATCGTGGATTTAGTCTACTGGACAATTAAGGATGGCTGAGCAATTGTTTACTTATTGCCTATCAAATGCTTTCTGGATGGACTGATGTTAAGTGCTGTCTCACTCCTTCCCTGGGCGAAAAGAGGGTTGACATTAGGGGTGGGTTACTAGGAAAATGAAAGGGTGGTGGGGAAAGTGCAGTACATTGATTTTGGAAAATGTTGAAATTTGTCTGTTCAATTTTTAGCTAACCTCTACCAGATGCTCCACATTACTGTTATTCCAATATTCTTGTTTAGAAGCAGTGTCAAGTGTTCCAACGGAGCTCAAAGATGTTGCCTACCTTTTAGCTTGTGGTTAAAAAAATAGTAGTTGGCATTTGATCGAACATTTATTTGGTGGTAACTGTGCTAATTTTGCTCAACTGCAGGCACAAGACAAGGGTACATATTGGCCAGTTAGTCAAAGATACATCTGCTAAACTTAAGCAAGCAAGTGAAACAGATCATCATGCTGATGTCAGTGTAAGTTTTAAAGAGCTCGATATTTCTCCTCATCCACTTCTGTTGATCTTGATGGGTAGACATTTTCAGGTCTCATACATTTAAACACATACTGTTTGTCTTATTTCTTTGTGAGTTTCTTATATACTAAGTTCTCATCCTTTTCTATATGGAGATGGCTGAATGTATGAACTCTGATGTGTATTTCCTCGTCTTCTTATTATAACTTTCTCACATATATGAATTTATGTTCATACTGCTTTTTCTCAGACTAGCAAGAAAATAACAGATGCTAAACTTGCTAAAGATTTTCAAGCTGTCTTGAAAGAGTTTCAGAAGGCTCAGAGACTTGCAGCAGAGAGGGAGACAGCATATACACCTTTCATTCCCCAAGCCGTTCTTCCTTCTAGGTAATGTCAGCGGCAATTATGGTAATTGTCATTTAGTAAACAGAGTTACTGGCATATGAAGAACTACATAAAAAGAAACTTTTAGTGCTATGATGTGTACTCTACAGTCTCATTTTTATAGACTTAATGAATCATACACTTCATCTGTATTTGTTGCCCCACATTTTTGCTCATACCCTTCATTTATATTATGTCGTGGTAAACAGTTACACAGCCAGTGAGGTAGATGTTGCTTCAGATAATAGTATGGAACAGCGAGCTCTCCTTGTGGAATCAAGAAGGTGAGTTAGTCTAGTTCTATTATTCAATTTGTTGTTTCTTACTAGTTTTTGCTCGTCTCTAGGTTGTTAAGACTCATTTTTATCAAATTCAGACATGCATTAGTCAAAGAAACATTGATGGTTGACAAAATTACTAATTTCAAAAAAAGAAAAAGAAAAAGAAACATTGATGGTTGAATTGGTTGCTAAAATTCACCAGCAAGATAACCATCAGTTATAGGCATACAGGGAAATGAAATTCACCTTTGAGTTTGGTCTCTAGACAACTGATGGGTTAGTGCCAAGTTAGATAGAGGACTGTTTGCTGTGGTACAGAGAAATCAGATTACAAATGAAGCTCGGGGCTTAGGGTGTTGGGTAATGAGCTTCCAATGGTGTAAAGGTTAAATTTATGTGGTGTTAGTGTTGTTTTTTGATGAAGGAGTCCATTCGGTTTCTTTGGGAGTTCAAGGGGATTGAGACAAGGAGTCCATGGATTCCTAGGGCACCGAGTAAAGTGTGCTTCTTTGTTTGGTTGGCGGCAAGGGGTGTAATTTAACTGCAGAAAATCTGTGAAAGAGGAAGATTAACTATGTCAGTTAGTGCTTTATGTGTAAGAGTGGATGTGAAAATGCTGATCATCTTCTTTTGCACTGTAATGTGGCTAATCAGTTATGGAGGGTAGCCACGGATTTGTTTCGGATTCAATCGGTGATGTCGGGTACAGTCAAGGAGGCTTTGCAAAGTTGGACTCATAGGATGGGAAAGAGAAGCCCTAGGGTATGGATTGCTGCCCCCTTAACAATCATGTGGGTCATTTGGAAAGGGAAATAGGACATTTGATGGGGTGGAACAAGATTTTGTAAAATTGCATAGGAGTGTTTTGTCTCTAGTTACTTTTTGGGGGACTTACGAGGTCCTTGTTTGTATAGAGGATAGAATCTCTTATGTTGAGAACCATCTTTCGAGAAAGGGTATCAGAGGCCAACGAGTTGAATTAATTCACCTTATATATTAGCACCGACATGACAAATGATTTGCTTCCATGAAACAATAAATTGAAAACTTGCATTTTTTGGCCATGTGCTGAACTTTTATTGACATCTGACTTTTCTTATGGAACTATTCTGGTGATGGCAATATGATCAAAGATAATGTTTTACATCCTTAAGACATATCTTCATTTCTGATCTGGTTGTTTTGTGTTCCACGTGCCCCTTGCTTCAGGCAAGATATTTTGCATTTAGACAATGAGATTGCTTTTAATGAAGCTATTATTGAGGAAAGAGATCTTGGAATACAAGAAGTACAACAACAGATTGGTGAAGTGAATGAGATTTTCAAGGATCTTGCCGTTCTTGTTCACGAGCAAGGAACTATGATTGGTAAATCACTTTCCTTCGTTTTGAACTTTCAAATCTTTAGAGGACATTATTTGACGTATACAATTCTCCTTTTCTCAGATGATATTGGCTCCAACATTGAGAATTCTCATGCTGCTACTGCACAAGGGAGATCACAACTTGCTAAAGCTGCAAAGACCCAAAGATCAAATTCATCTCTGGTACTTCCATTACTTATACAAATTTTCCCTGAACATAAATCTGGCTCGGTTTTATTCTGCTTATATTCCATGAGAACTTGTATGTTTAGACTCTTGGATCTTCGAGAATATAGATGTGGACGATGGGAAACTTGTCATAGCATTAAGGTGCTGCATTTTGCAAGCTATGACTAAATGGTAACTAGATGTTCTAGTTACAGCATGGTTTAACAGAAATAGAGAGTAGAAGAGTAGTTACGCCAATTTGCTACTTAATTCTAGGCATGGTTGTGGTACCAAATTTGAAGTGCCATTATGAGGCAGTCGTGGGTCGAAATTTTAATGAATCATAATGACAAGTCAAGTCATGCGATTAGTTTTCTTAGGTTCGGCTTTTCATCTTTTAGGAGTGGGGACCAACTTGCCCAGAAACCATGGTTATTAAAAAATTATGGGTTCAAATGAATTAGTTGAGGCGCTCACAAGCTTGCCCGAAACCACGGTTATTAAAAAAACATATCGTGGGTTCAGATGAACACGCAGCCTAGAGACTACATCCGCCTCTAGAAGTGGGGTTGATTTTAAGCCCTTTTGGATGGTGTTGAATCGTTCAACCTCATCATTCCCTATCAAATGTAGGTGGAAAATATAATTACTAACATTCATTCCTCGCCACTTTATATAAAAAATCATAAATCTTTTCATCTTATATTCCTCGCAGCGCATTCTTAACGGATTTTCTTTTCTGCAGACCTGCTTGCTTCTGGTGATATTTGGGATCATACTTCTAATTGTGATCATAGTACTTGCAGTATGATCAGAAGATTTTGATATGGGAGGAAGAGAGATCCTAAACTCTTCATAAATGGAATTGATCTTTTTGATTCAAGATGTTCTTAAGGCACCATAAAGTATACTTGTGGTTTGATCCATGAATCTTTTAGTCATGCTAGAGAAGTTGTGCAACTGTGACATGAAGTTTCATATGCTGTGTGGTGGCGTGGGGGTGGGGGTTGACATGCGAGGGAAGGTTTGTCTGCTATGTTTGTAAATTTTGTGTTTGTGTTTGTGTGTTGCTGCCATGTAATGGCTGGTTTGTTGATAAAATTTGTTTCTTAAATTTCTTGCATGATCAAGGCCCCGATAAAACGATTCTAGTCCACAACTTATTCATGATATAAGCTGTCATTTACGTAGCTGCTGCCTATTTAGTCACAATTTTTTGTTTTGATTTCGGAACAATTAACCTATCATATGTATCAGCTTGGCTTCATCCCGAACCTAAGAGGTATTCGGATCTCATATGAACAGCTTGCTACCTATTTAGTTAACGTCTCTTGTTTCTTGTACGGAACAATTAAAATAGTTTGAATTTTTAGGTTTCCAAGCAATATAAGGTCCCCTAAACTTCACTTCATTTTTTTTTGGTAAATGGTGAATAATTGTATTCATAAAAGGCACAAATGTAGTGCTGGGATTCTGAACAAGTGAGCAAAAGATCCACAATATATCCCTCCTCAAGTCTTTAGAGAGGCTCTTTAAGAATTCCAGTAAAGCTAAATAACAAGATACAAGCTGGAATAGCGTACCACCCGCTTATTCTTGTTTTGTCCAGTGCTAGACAAAGTTAAGAATGGTGTAATAGGACAGTGCAAAAAGAGACGAATAAGAGTTTCAGCATGGTTGCCCACATAAATAACAACCCAAGATAAACGCGCTTCACTTCTATGAGGAGCTCATGACTTCCAGATTTGTTTCTGAGGCCATAGTTTGAGATGTTGATCTTCCTTTTCCAAGATTTTACACAACTCACCTTGGTTGCAGTCTTTACATTGATATTTCTTCTATAATTAACTAACCAAGTCCCATCAACTCTTGAATCAGAGACGATAGAATTTGAAGACAATGCCAAATCGTACAATCTGGGAATTTGTTCTTCGAAGATACATGGCTCATCTATCTTCTCCTCCTCCGCTTCCTTCGACTATCATCACTTTCACTATCACTGTCGTCAGAACTGGATGATGATGATTCAGATTCTGAACCAGAACCCCAGACTCATCATCCGATTCAGAAACGGGCTTTTGTTGTTGCATGATAAGCCTTGGCATGTTCTTTAAATACTCTCGTAGATTTTCAGTAATTCCACCGAGACCAATGGAAGTGAAAAAGTTGATAGCAAACCTTGTATTCTTGGGATTGTCCTTCGGGAAAATAGAGTCAAGGGAATCTTGCATGGTGGGGTCGTTAAGACGCTCATTCAACAAGCGGATGCCAAGGTGCTCCGACATTTCCTGCATATATGACATATTTTTTGAGTGAATTTGAAGCTAATGGAACAAATATGTGATATTACTACAAATAGATGTCTACCAATGCATCGCATCGCCAGCGCTAAAAAAAACAGAAGAAAAAAATTATATGCTTTAACAAATGCAATTTTTGACATAAATGTTACATTTAGCAGTGATTAAAAGACTTAAAATAAGTGGCCAAAAAGAAAATAAATATTCAGAATCAACTATTGATCTTGTTCATATTATAGAGAGTTTTAAAAAGTAAGCCATAAAGATAAAGCTAGTTTTCTTTTTGACGAGTTCAAAGATAAAGCTAGCTGTAACATGTCTGAAAGAAACAAAAAGATAAATCAAGCTGTAGAAGTATTAGAGATCAAATTAAATGTACCTGGAATAGGATTTTAATAAATATACGAGAAGAAGAGGTTGTGTCCTCCTCTGTCAGTCTTATATAAGCCAAAGCATGCCAAGGAAGAGCATCAGTGCCGAGCAAATGAGCAAAAAACTTGGCCACGTTACGAAGTTTATTAGTTTCGAGCCGGTGGATCATGGAGTACTGCTGCACAAAGCATTTCTCAAAGTTTTCTTGATGAATTTTGTTAATCATGCAAAATCGCTGTCCCAGTAGTCCATAGTAACGAAGATAAGTCCTCTCCTGACTGCAGCACTCCAATAACATTATGCACAATTCCATCTGCATGGATCAAATAAATATAGATCGGTTTTCTCTTCTTTTAGACAGGTATCAATCAAAAAGTTATTAATTAATACAAGAATGAATAATACAGCCACAGGACAGAATGATTACAGCATCACAATCTTTTTCATTTTCCTTTCTTCCTGCATTTCCACTATCCAGTCCTAAAATATTTTACCCATTATCTAATCTTTCCCTGACATTGAGACTTGAGAGTGAACCAATCCAAGAGAATGTGTTCCTTTTTCTTTTCTTTTTTTCTCTTTTTCAGGATTATAACTGAAATACTTAGTTGAGGATTTGGTGGAGTACTCTTTATCAAAAAGAAATTGTTGGAGTACTAATTACTAGCCTCAAACCACATATTAATATATTAAACCAACAAAGGTGTAGATGTCCAGTATTATTTCTTTTTAACTAATGTGACTGAAGCTCTGGTACCTCCAGACTCCAGTACATCAAGCAAAAGCATCAATATACAAAAAATAGGTGAAGAAGTGCACTCTTGATCTAATGAGTAGAACTGTCAACCCCTTCAAAAGCCCACATTCTTTTCTATAACATTCCCAGAGCAGACACAAAGGTTCAATTTCAAAATTTCAACCCATATTTCTGTTGTGATGGATGTTCCAAGAAAACTACTATTTGCTGGAAGAACCTGATAGACTCCAGAAGTGAAAATAAAAGATGCCATTAGTCCAAAGAAACAGTGAAGTAGCAGGTGACTTGTGTCCTCCTATGATAGTTACAAATGAAGCATGCGTTAATTAATTCCGCAAATTATCGATGTTAGAAATTGCATTGTGGGCTACATGAATCTCTACCTGCATGGACCACAAGGCAAGCCAATTAAATGTTACCCTATGTCCATGTCCATCTTTATTCCTCAACCATCAGTTTAACGGAACACCAGAAATATGGTTTATGGGATGCATGATAGAATGATAATGCCTCTATGCTATCCATGAAAAATACAAGGAGAAGTCAGATTCAATGAAAGCTCATGTTTTGGTTATTATTACTCTTTTTTGTATCCAGAAACTAAGTTTTTCCTACACCTTTTTTAATGTTCAATAACGTTTTCCCTTTTAAATTATAGCCCTTCTCATATAATGTTTAACAAATCAAAGGCGACATTACTATCTTTTGAAACTCAAAGCAGATGCAAATATATGGACATGTCAAATCCATGTAAGCATGCACACAGTTTCGCGAAGGACATGACTCAAGAGTAGCAGAATAACACAAAATATAAGAAAGAGATCATGATACTAACCTCCTGACCAGGCTCTAGTTTGATTTTCAACAGCTTATGCCCTGCTTCTTCAAAGTCAACACTAGACATAATGGTAAGGTAGATCGTTCTCCGAAGGTTGATTAAGTTTGTCTCTGTTTCGTCCTTTATTTGCATTTGCTCCTCATCTTCTTCTTCAGACTCTTCATCTTCATTGTCATCTTCATCCTCTGATTCCACATCAGAATCTCCTTCCTCAGATTCTTCACCAAGTATTGCCTTCTTTAATTCTTCATACTTTCTTTCGTTCTCTAGGAAATTAGGATCCGGCTTGAAAATATCTGAGCATGCAAAACAAACATGAAAATCGACATTCCATATAGTTGCTCCATGAAACAAAATATCCAGTAGCCTCCAAAGGCAATCCGTTTTAATACTTTTACTATAAAATTGATCATGACATACCTAAAGTAATTTCTGGATCTATTGTCTCTGAGAGAGAGACTTCATGTGTTAATTGATCTTCCTGCTCAACAAGGTCAAGTTCTGGACGCACAGCTTGGTAACCCTGAGTAGGATGCATGTAAGGGATCTAATATTCTTGCTTTGATAAATAAGGGATAAAATATAATCTTGCCTCAGAAAACAATAAAATATCGAGTAGTATTTTTTTACTCAGAAAACAATTAAAAAGCAAACTCACCTGAAACTTTGCTTTACGCAATGCAAAGAGGCTTTCAATTAAGAACTGAACACGTTTATCTATTTCTCCTTCATGAAGTATACCACGGAACCGCTCAAAGATTCCTATTTAAAAGGAAAAAGGTATAAGCATGGCAACCAAAGCAGAATCTTTATATAAATAAACGAAAATATAAGTCGTGAATATTCTATAACAAACTTTCAATGTGTACTCACCATGTAATCCTCGTGGACAGAGGTCCTGAAGCATTGAACCACATTCTGTAACAAAACCAACCGCAACCTCAACACTATCATCAGTAGGTTTCTCCAACAAAACCGTGAGTAGTTCAAGAGCAATAAGCTCGTGGACGATTTGTTGGTTCACAAGGTGAGCAATAAATTTGACAGCTGCTAACAGCTGAGGCTGCAAGCGTGAAAAATTAGGGGTAAGACAAATTATGACAAGATTTTTTTGTCCTGCTAAGGTTATGAACAGATTTGGACTGCATTGAAGCAATTAGACTAACCGCACTACTAGAGATACAAACCTTATCATTTGTACAAGAACAATACAGTATGTTGCACAAATAAAAAATGTACTGCAAGCACAAAAGCAAGAGATACGAACCTTATCATTACGTTTATAAGCTCTTTGCAGCTGCAGTATGATCCTTCTTAACAAAAGATCACCCACTTCAGGGAACTTGGTATTAACGACCGCAACCAAAGCAGCAAACACATCAGTAAAACCCGGAGAAGCCATTTGGGACTTCATACAGGATCTACAAAACAAACCCCTCCCTCGAATTAAATTCTCTGCGAACAACTCTGGAATAATGTTTTTGAGGTTTGCTGCATTAACTTTATTCACCAGTCCATTGATACTCTTTCTCAGAGCATCCCAAGTCATCCTCTGGTACTCAACACTGCTCTTGTCCTGAACCTCCTTCATCATCCTAGCCAATTTGAATGGTGGAATGTACACTCCCCCACTCCTGCCCAATTTTGCTGTATCGACATTCAAATTACCATCTTGCTTTTGCACCTTGGAAACGTCACTGGCTTTCAGTGCCCCGTCTTCTTGGGTATTATCTTCCCTATTTTTGTCTTTTCCATGCTTATCAGCCCCAATCCTTTGCCTTGTATCCTTTCTATCATGGTCATCACCATCATCCTTCTTTTCTCTTACTACGTTCCTCCTCTTCTCTTTCCTATCA